TAATTGTTCGTGGCGTGTGCGAGAAACCCGTTGGCCTGTGTTTACATCGGCAGTACACAGTTACTGTAACTTGCTTACTAGCACCGCATTGGCCGTGAGACGAAAGCAAAAATAATAATAATATTGATAATGTTAGGGCACTATAGATAAATATATAATTATATATAGTGCCTTAATAATGTGTGCCATGTAGGGGGGAAAAATGGATTGAAAAAAATAATAATAAACAAACATCTTGTTGGTATTTTTCGGACAAATGAAATCAAAGGTCACATGACGAAAACGCGATCGATGGTGCCTGACTTGTTTACATACACGCCCAGCCAATGGCGAGCCATGCTCGGCCCTCCCCCTCTATTATTGGTGCGGAATGTTTTCGATTTTCAAACCGATCGACAGACAAACCACATGGGCGATGGGCATGGTATGCCTTAACATTATTTTAATATCTATTACTTATTTACTTTTCCTGACAAGTGTGAAGTGGGTCGCGGACTCTCGGGTATTACGGGTTTTTTTTCTAATCACTTCGCGTCCCGTGCGACTCGCTGTTTTTTTTGCTGACCGACAATTTATTTTTGCGAACAACTATCATTGCCAACCGTACCATATTTTATCTCATTTGTGTTTCGTACGATTTCTTAAATCATGGATGAACAATACATTTATTATAATATTATTGTACAAGAAAAATATACGATCAGATAATTCTTTTATTTATATTTATTTATTTTTATTTAGAGAAAAAATCTTATATTCTCATTGTTATATTCTGTGGTATTCTTGGCTATGGAACAAATTCTGGACATAGTAAGTTGACCGTAGCCGTCTATAGAAAACCGTTTTAAATGCATTAAGGTAATTTACACCCACAAATAAATTATATAATTATTAATTATTATAGCCTTATTATAATATATGGACTTCGCGTTCCGCAAGTCCCAAGTGATAATTAATTATGTAACTAATAACCACGGTTTAAAATATTCTTAAATCGTGATAATAAGATTGCTAACTAGCAGTGACGCAGTGTCGTTCTGGCAAACAAAAGTTCCTAGGATCAGTATTTTTAAAGGGCCCCATCATGAAATACGAAATTTACTTGACATTTTGGGGAAAAAATGTCCACTACCTTTTTTTCCTTTAAAAATATAATTATTCAAATTCCGACTTATAGAATTTTTAAGTAGGTATACCTAAAGACAATATATTATTCAAATTCCTGATATTTTTTGTACTAATATTAGAGTGTCCTGTGGCTGTACAAACTTCTATTTTTCAAATGAGAATCTCCTTTTTGACTGCAAATTATTTAGCAGATAATATTCCTGTAAATGTAGATGTATCTAAATGTACATTATTTTTTTTTAATTTGTTAAAAGTAAGTTAAGTAGTTTGTATTGAAAACATCATTCTTAAATGGTATAAAAAATCTCAAGTACCTATTCAAAAATCTTCAAGAGTATTTAGAAATTTTAAAAATCAGAATTTTAATATAATATGTATTGGAGAAAGGGGGAATACCGGTCATCTTGTAACCAATAATCCAGTACATCTAAAATTATGTTGAAAATACAAAAATGTTAAGAATAACAACAAAAGCTTATTCTTATCGAAACGATGTTATCAAAAGACTTTTTTACGTTCAAATGTGTAAAATTAGTTTGTTGAGATAATTTTTCTAAAAAAAAAAATGTCTTGCAATCTCAATTAAGGTAAAAATATTTTTAATATATTTCTACCTTATAGATGTACATATAAAACAAAATATGGAGATTATGGTTATGCATTATAATCATGTAATAGTATTATGGTTTATCAATGAAAAAATATTTTCTAATTATTTGTCAAAAGGGGAAATACCAGTCAGTAATTATATAATATAAAGTGTGTTGATAAACGATGATATAATTTAGTATTATCTATTGGTATTTGTTTTCAGTACCTACCTATCTAATATCTATGAGGAAACTTTTATTTTAAACCATTATTTCAAAAAATATGTTTTCCCTATCTTTTTATATGTGTGACCTGTATTCCCCCGGGGTAGGAGGAATACCAATCATTTGCTCTTTTTAAAAAAATTTAAAAAAAAACTACTAGGTACACTTAACTTTAAAAATTTGAAACTTATATATTTAGTAGCCAACAACTTTATAGTTCTGATGTAAGTGATAGTAAAATATTTGGATTTTTATTACCGGAGATACACTTGGTCCCGCTTAGGTGACCGGTATTCCCTATTCTCCCCTAAAATTTAAGTAAAAAAATAGGGTGAGCATAGGTACTTAAAAAATCACTACTTATAATATTAACGCAAAGCCTAAAGACACGGGCAATCATTCGTTAAGTAATAAAGTTTGAAGTTATTGAAATATTTTAAACTCCAAATAATAAATAATAATTGTTAATTACATAGAAACGAAATTACGAAAACCAAAATTATATTTATATTGCCTATAGAATTTTAACTTTGAAGACAAATCCATAAAACTTTAAAAAGTAAATGTAAAATCTTTATCATTGTTCAATGTTTAATTATATTTAAATACACATAAGGAGATAAATAGTATTATAAATCATACATATTTTTGTAAGCAACATATTTTTCATGATCGATGAATCCAACAACGGAGCCGCTGCTGTTTAGGTGAGAGGGGCCCTCGTGGCCTCGTCTGAGCCCATTGTTTTTAAGGAGAGATATAAAACCTAACTTAACTTGCAGTACGATATTATAATTTATAGACCTGTACATAAGTCCGTGATTATAATATTGTTATTTGACATTTTTCAAATAATTGATAATATTGATATTAAATATTTAATTGATAACGTAAATCGTGCCCCCGGCAACCGGGTTCAAGGCACGGATAATGGATATACAGCTGGATTGGACACGAGATGAACATTGTGGTTACCACGAACTAAGATATACAGGACTGGAAACAATAAGGTTGGAGGGTGTGAGAGGTAAATCCTCCTTAATGTATACAATGAGCGGGGTACGGGGGCTTCGAGTTCTTGTCAACACTAGCGCCATCTAGGTATCCAAAACAATAAATTAATAAATCGGTATGCTAATCAACAGGAGCTTAATTTCTCGCCTTTTTCATGCTTCGTAAAATATATAATTATACAATAATGTTATAAACTTATAATATATTATTATACATTTTATACCTAATTAACATAGTATAATTATAATTCATAATAATTGTGTCTGTTTGATCATGACTTTGGTGACCTGATGTTCAACTTTTTTAAGAAAGATGCATGCTGAATAGTTTTTATAATTTTTATTTAATTTATTTATCTTAAAATACACACAATTATGGTGAGGTGTTGTGTAATAAATTGTCTTTCACATAATGAAAAAAATAAAAAAATTTATTGACATTTCCTTGTAATGATCATAAAACAGAAATAATGACTAATATTTTCCAATACTACATCACTATGAGAATGAAACAGTTTACTTTGTCACAAAACAAACAACTAAAAAAGAAAAGTTACAAAAAAAAAAAGTTATCAAAACTTATTACCTACTACATAATAGGTACTTTATAAATTATAGGTAATAGGTTCTACCTATTTTTTATTTCTTAATTAATGCTACCTATATAATAGATATTAGATACCTATGTAATGTTTTATTTCCATGATATGTTATCAACTAAATATAATTATACAATAAATTATTACAAATTTGAAATTATAGTTAATATCTATATTCTATAATAATATTTTGAAATCATGATATACCTACGTCCTACATTCAAAAATATAAAAAAAAACCGCTCAAATATTTAATTATTTTCTTAGACGTTACACCTAATATTGAGTAATATATAGTATCTTTTTTTTATATTATATTTGGGTTGCTTTTGGTTTAAATGCATAACTGTTAACTGAGAAATATCAAAATCAATAATAATTAATAATTAATAACTATTAACTCGGATAGCGGCCGCCAGCCAAGAGTTGAGCGCTAGTGTTGATAAGAACCGAAATTCCCTCGTCCCCCGCACAATCATAATATTAAGATGTACTCGTATCAACATTCGTTTCCAGTCCTGTATATCTTAGTTCGTGGTGGTTACGAATTACGAAATGTAATGTAGTACAATCTCATAATCTCTTTACTATGAGTACAATTTCCAGGCGGAGTTCGGGGGGATATTTTCCTTTTTAGCATTACTAGCGCCATCTTAGTGGATCCTTATGGAGCTAGAAATTTGCATGATGTGTTCTAGTTCCAAAAGTATCCACTAAGACGGCGCTAGTAATGCTAAAAGGAGAATATCCCCCGAACACCACCTGTTAACGTGTTCAACCACCCACACCCGCAACCTTGGCATGTCCTGTGTGGCTGTGTATTCAAGTTGATTCAATATTTCAATTCTCCCGATTAAATAAATTCTGCTTCTGATAATGTCCCGAAATGGCGAAATGACCAATGAGTCGCACGATTTAACGGCCACAGGCTGTGCTGCGTACGCTAGGGTTGTTACCATAGAGTGTTACTTAAACCCGCGTAGTATAGGGAATATTCATGTTTTTTGGGTTTTTTGGAAAATATATGCACTATTTTGAACCATGTGCCTCTTTAGATTTTTTAGGTTGTACGATTATGCATTTATACATGTGAATAAGTGTATGCAGTTGTTACTCGTCGAGTGTTGACATTAATTATAACAGTCGACTCTTTAGTCTTCTCAAAAAAAGAGGTTCTAAACTTCTAACTGACTTATTCACCATTGATTATTAAAATATTAAATAATATTAATTACCAAGACATCAAGTTCAGCAATATAATTAATATAGTTATTAATACTTATATTATAATTTATAAGTATCATCGATATCATAATATATTCATATTTGCACGTCGGTTGTGTTGAGGGTTACGTATTATACTTTAAGCTACGAACGATCGCCGATCCTAACGTAACCTAACATACCGGTGAAAAGCGTGTAAAATCATTTCTTCGTTGGCCGAAATGGATACCGACGACAAAGGATATACGATTACCTACGACCCTGTCAAAGTAAGTATAATTATTACAGATTCCTTTTTATTATGGTTATCGGCGTATTTGATAATATATCGCCTAGTAATTATGAGGTTTTAAGTAGGTATCTATTTACTCAACGTCTTCTTGATGACTTGATATTATATTAAGTCATACTATTCCAATATATGAATGTATGATAAAGGTATATTCAATTCGACATCGGAATAAAAAGTCCAGGGGTTCAAGGAAAACGAGTACAAAAAGTCTGTAAACAATATTTAAAAATATCATTCTTTATTAAACATAAAAAACATGACATTACGAGAGAATTAGGTACCATAAATTATAAATATATAATTCTTCATGAAATAACATTTTGATAGGTAACACTATTGTATATTTCGTTAGATCGGTAAAAAAAAGTGAATACCAATAATATAATACAGTTTTAATCTAGGTACTTTATTTTATTGTTTATTGCTTAGTGAGTAATAACCAATAGGTAACTAATTCACTTAATTCTAACAGATTATTCAGCCTACATCATAGCCCATAAGTGAAAATAATAATCGGTACTGTTATAATTATAAATAATGACCAAACCATGTCGGCGATACATAGACCAATATTTTTCCATAGCTACCGTTAGGATTATAAGTTACTGTAGTATGTCCAGTTAAACATAACACTAATTGTGCTACACCTATAAGCTTAAATATATTATTAAAATGTAAACTAAAATGGAGTTTGTTTTCAATTACAATACATTTATTGTAAGGGTGAGTGTCTTTGTTGCAAACAAAACACTTTAAGTAGATGATTTAATTTTTGAGAAGAACCAGCTTGGTAAATAGTACTATTTTATTGTGTTATGTGTTTTTACAATTTATTATAATATACTGATTAGAAATTTTAATACTTATATTATAATTTTATAAGTATCATCGATATCATAATATATTCATATTGCACGTCGGTTGTGTTGAGGGTTACGTATTATACTTTAAGCTACGAACGATCGCCGATCCTAACGTAACCTAACATACCGGTGAAAAGCGTGTAAAAACTTTCTTGTTGGCCGAAAATGGATACCGACGACAAAGGATATACGATTACCTACGACCTGTCAAAAGTAGTTATAATTATTACAGATTCCTTTTTATTATGGTTATCGGCGTATTTGATAATATATCGCCTAGTAATTATGAGGTTTTAAGTAGGTATCTATTTACTCAACGTCTTCTTGATGACTTGATATTATATTAAGTCATACTATTCCAAATATGAAGTATGATAAAGGTATATTCAATTCGACATCGGAATAAAAAGTCCAGGGGTTCAAGGAAAACGAGTACAAAAAGTCTGTAAACAATATTTAAAAATATCATTCTTTATTAAACATAAAAAACATGACATTACGAGAGAATTAGGTACCATAAATTATAAATATATAATTCTTCATGAAATAACATTTTGATAGGTAACACTATTGTATATTTCGTTAGATCGGTAAAAAAAAGTGAATACCAATAATATAATACAGTTTTAATCTAGGTACTTTATTTTATTGTTTATTGCTTAGTGAGTAATAACCAATAGGTAACTAATTCACTTAATTCTAACAGATTATTCAGCCTACATCATAGCCCATAAGTGAAAATAATAAATCTGTACTGTTATATTATAAATAATGACCAAACCATGTAGGAGATACATAGACCAATATTTTTCCATAGCTACCTTTAGGAAGTTATAAGTTACTGTAGTATGTCTACATTTAAACATAACACTAATTTTTCTACACCTATAAGCTGTAATATATTATTAAAATGTAACTAAAATTGAGTTTGTTTTCAATTACAATACATTTATTTTAGGGTAAGTGTCTTGTTGCAACAAAACACTTTAAAGTAGATGATTTAATTTTTGAAGAAGAACCATTTGTGTCCTGTCAATTTTCTTGGAATAGTCTTTATGGTTATCGTGCTTGCAATCATTGTCTTTGGTAAATAGTACTATTTTATTGTGTTATTGTGTTTTTTACAATTTATTATAATATTAATGATATAGCCCTTTAGAAACTACCTCAGAAAATATTGTCAGATTAACAAATGCTGCTATAACAGAAATCCCTTTTGAAGAGTATTGTCCTATAAAAGATAATACACATAACTATGTACAATGTGAATCTTGTAAAGTGAGTATTACTTTCTTTATTTTTATCTCAAAATGTTATACCTTGGTTCCATGATTTTGTGTCTTATATTGTATAATTATATAAACTGTATCATAGGCGTGTGCAAACTCCTGTTTCAGGTGAGGCTTTTATTTTTTTTGACCACCAGACTTTTTACAAAACCCCCCTAAAAAAATAAATAAATAAAATAGACGTACATAACATGGATAAGTAGAAATAAAATTGATTATTAAAACTGTTATATAGTACAATATTAGTTCAAACATTATGTGAATTAATAATACAATTATTTAAAGATATTAAAAAAAGTCTCAGGCCTTATAAGCCACACCCGTGTGCACGCCTATGGACTGTATACATGTTACTTTACTACATGGCACCTACATTTTAAATCACAAACTAATAAATTATAATACATGATTATTAGGTTTGGTATTGCAGTTCTACATGTTTGGAAACTGCATATAATCGATATCACCAGCTTCTTTGCAGGCCAGACAGCAATGATCCATTGCATTATTTAGAAGAGTTATGGAGGTATTTTAATTACTTTATTTACTTTTTAATTTTTTTTTATGCTTAAATTATTTTAATCCAACTAAAAATAAATTACCATTCTTGATGAGTAATAATTAAATATAATTCTGTACCATAGAAGTCAAGTAATGCAAGTCACAAATAGCACATTTTACTGGAGACAAAACAAAATTTTTCAATTAGTACTTCAATTAGTATACTTCTTACTGTCTATGATTTTATTGTATATTGTACTTACGTTTTAATACCTTTAAAAATGTCACAAAAAGGATATTCTGATTATAACTAACTCAATATTTCAAAAAATGGACTTGTTACTTTACTTTTGCTGTACAAAATTTCAAGACGAGATACATTTCTAGTTTAAACCAATGAAGCATTACTTAGGTACCTATACATATTGTTTGTATTTTACACTGGGTTGCATGAAAAATTGATTAATATAATGGGCCACTAAATTTACCATTAGCTCACTATTGATTCATTTAATGTTTAGTGGTTGTTCAAGCAACCCAACATTGTGGTAATAAAAAAAAACAAGGAGTATCCACACCGTATGTAGATATATAATATGTACATGTATATTGTGTCTTATAAATTTAATACATTCATCGCTAGGCTCAGAAACTAAAAAAGTATAATAAGGTTGCTAGAGTAACCCAAATATATTAATTGGGCAACCTGGGAACTTTATAACATTAATTTCATCTTTGTTATTGTTTGGTTGTTGTGAAAACTATTAAGTCTAATCGGTCAGAAAAATACCATAATATTTTAGGCTTCCAGCCTCAACACTATGACGTCATGGTACCACTAACCGTGTCGCGCAAAATTATAGAATGACCCCCAGCCATAAGACATCAAAATTACTTATTAATTGTTTATTATTATTGTGATGTATAGGACAATGCATTATCCTCCTGAAAGTCACAACATCATGCTATTGTGTCGTTTGCTGGCAACAATTGAATTATCTGCATCACCACAGCAAGCTAATCAGACAGTTTCTAATGTAAATCAATTCTCTATTACTTATCTTAAGTTTTAACTATGATCATTCAATATATTTTTATATAGTTTTGCCATCGAACAGAAAATGAAAATGAACATTTAGCACATAAAATGCTCGGAGAAAAGTTTGTTGAGCAAATTGAACAACTTCGTTTTGGTGTTCTCAAGTCCATGCCAGTTAGAGAATCTAGTCAAGTGAATATAAAATAATACTAAACTAATTAATCAGTTCATTCTTTAGTAAAATATTTTTAGTGGCTAACTCCAACTGGTTTTAAATCATTGTTGGCATTGGTTGGAACAAATGGACAAGGTGTTGGAACAAGTGTTTTTCATCAATGGGCAAATAATTGTAAAAAACATCTTTCTCCTGATCAAATGGAATTATTTGAACAGTTCATAGACAGTGCTTATGACGCAATGGAACAAGGTATTTTTTTTTCTATTTAAAATTGATTATGGTCTCTTCTAATAGGATTGTTATACTTATATTTTTTATATATTAATATTATCCAAAAATATCTCACATGTTCTATAAAATGTATCTAACATTTGAATAATCATAACCAATCTCGCTAATATATCTTATCCTCAGTATTTGCATCCTTCAATACTTTGTCTGATTTATAGTTACTACATTGTGTGTTGTATTGGTTTTTTCTTTTAAATAGTTGTTGGAGTGGATTTTTTGGATAATGAAGGTTCTGCATTATTTCAAAATCATAGTTCGATCAATCATAGCTGTTTTCCAAATGCAGCAAGTGTTTTTGATGGTAATCATGTTCTGAGATTGGTTGCTATTAGAATGATTGAACCAGGTGATGAAATAAATATTAGCTATATTGCTCCATGTGAATTAGACCATAGCAGACATACTAGGCAAAAATATTTACAGTACGTTAATTTATATTATTAATATTAACTTTGCAATTTGATGACTTTTTTATTTATGATGTATAGAGAAAACTATGTATTTACTTGTCGGTGTATTAAGTGCGAGGAACAAATTAATGATCCAGACATAACAAGTGATGATGATTCAGAGATGGAAGATGATAGTACCTGAGTATTTTATGGAATTTTATAACTTGAAAATAAAATGCCATTAAAATAATTCTTGTTATGTTTACATTCTTCAAATCACAAATTATTTGGGCCTCAATATAGAAAATACTTATCAATTTTTTATTAACACTTTTAATCCATTAAATATTATATTTTTAATTAATAAATAATATTCAGGCATGGACGAACATAAAAGCAACTTTGTCCAAAAAACTTATAAAAATTCAATTTTTAATTAATAATTCAAATAAGGATTTATGTTTTAGGAAAGATACAGTTGTTTAATTTTATGCTGCAGCTTTGAATCCTATCTATTACAATTTGAGTTTTTAATTTGAATTTTAAAGCCAGCTCATCCAAAACAATTACTTTATTTTCCTGAAATAAACAAAAAAAAAAATTGGATAAGTTAAATTCCTATGTATTTCATTGAATTCTAATTTCTAGGTTCATTATTGAGTACCAAGGTACTTAAAAATAAGAGTACACCAATTTGGTGCATATGTGGTCCCAAATAAAGTTGTGTCTCCCCGCAATTGCAAAGAACTATGATTGGCTACCATTGTCTTTTGGAGCAATTATTATTCATACTAGGGAGTGCATGTAGAAACTAGAAACTGCTGATTCTTCTTTGCTGTATGGTATACTCTTATTCTGATTATAATGTAAAAAATATAAGGTTGTAACTTGTAAGTAATTTTGTGTTAAGTAATAATTAGCTGGTGTAAAACGCCTACTTAAATCTTCATTTATGAACTGATAAAAAACTTACATTTATATATTATTATAATCAATTAAATTGTACAATATGAATCATAAGAATGTTTGTATGAAATTTGGTTCATAAATAAAATACAATTGTTAAACATAATCAGAAAAAGGTGGGTAAGTGGATGTCGCTCTGCTGTACAGTAGGTTACAAGTGGGTCACTGTATAATTGATGCTATTAAATTTGAATTCAATGATACAATATCATTGTATAAGAAAAACGATTCTGAGCGAAGACGGTATGTCAGTCTAGGTTAAGACAAATTATATACATATCTATGGTATTAAAAAAAAATTGACCTATAATAAATTCCAAATTAATCATATCACATTATCACAATATCCATTAGGTACTAATAACACGTTATACACCAACAACAAACCCTGATACTATCATATATATATAATAGTACACTTTAGAAGTTTCAAGTAGGTACCCACGAATAATATTATATAATCACAACAAAATAACTAGGTTTTTTAATATGTAATTTCGTCAAAATTTGAACATAAAATGACTATAAAAATAAACTGTGATTGTATATTTTTTAGATTTTTCGGTAAGAGAATTAACTACTTACGTGAAATCTTGTTTTAAATTTTCAATCCTTAGCTATAAAAACTGAACATTTTATAATTTATTAATTACGATGATTAATAATTTTCGAGATTTTGAAAAATTCTGTCAAAATTTGATGTTAAAATGCTTATAAAAAAAAATTGTGCCTATGTATTTTTAATATTTTTCAACTGATATTGTAACAATATATCAGGAGCCTTGTATTAAATTTTTACACTTTTTGGCCCAACAGATAAAACTTAATTAATATTTATAGAAAAAAAAAACTAAAAAAATTGAAAACTGAAAATGTCCGTAAACGGCTCAAAAAGAGTCAAAATATTTTCAAAATTGTATGGTGTATAGGAAATGCTAATATAAACATTCAGTGAAATTTTCATGTATCTACAGTAATTCGTTTTTTAATTACAACAAAAAAAGGAAATTGCCACATGAGAAATCGAGTGAATATCCAATGTTGTAAAAATTTGAATTTCAAACGCTCATAAAAATTTAATTTGACTTTCCGGTAGAGATTTTTTTATTGATAAAGGTAGACAATCTTATGAGTAATCTTGTATTAGATTTTCAAATCTTAGATTTAAAAAGAAAAATTTTTACGAATTCTTAACTCAAAATAATTTGCTAATTTTCGTGATTTTTCCATATTTTGTCAATTTTTGAACTTTAAATGCTTATAAAAAAAATTGTGACTAAGGATTTTTAATATTTTTCATCTGCCCTTGAAACAATATATTAGGAGCCTTCTATTAAATTTTCAAGCTTTCGCAACCAACAAATAAAATTTTATTGATATTTCTAGAAAAAAAACTAAAAAAAAACTAAAAATGAAAATGTCCCTAAACTGTTCAAAATAAATCAAAATATTTTGAAAATGTTATCGTGTATAGAAGATGCAAATATAAACAACCAGTGAAAATTGCATGTACCTACGGTCATTTGTTTTAAAGTTACACCAAAAACCAAATTCAATTTTCTGAAAAATCGATTTTGTGTAAAAATTCCCGTTTTTCCTTAATTTTTCTTTTGTTTTTCCCGGCGCTCTTGAAAACTACTGGGAAATTTAAATTTTGACCTCCCCAATGCACCAACGATATTCACTTTCCAATCGAACAAGATACTGAAGTCGAAAATCGAAGCATTATTTCGACTACTTATCGTGTACACAGACACAAAAAAAATAAAAAATAAAATAAAAAAAAAAATAAAAAAAAAAACACACATCATTGTAAAATCAATACATTCATCGTTTCACTCAGAATCTAAAATGTATTCAATTAAAATATGATAAAATAGGGTTTTTATTGAACTTCACATTGGATGTTGCCACACTTGCATGTGTTTTCTCTACATTACATAGGTACAATATAAAATAATATGGATTCTTAAATTTTCTTCTAACCACAAATGTTCTGAGCTGTAAATTGGAAGAAAGAGACTACACATGCAGTAGTAGAAAATTAGCAACCTCTTAATCTGATCATAGCAATTTTTGAACAAGTTGCTACCGATAAAATGTTTTAATTATAAAATTAATAATTGAGATGTCTAACCTTAATGTGTTCAATGAATTGAGTTAATGTCACTCCTTCATCCTCTAATGTTTCTTCATAGCCTTCTTCTTCTATACCAAAGGTCTCTTTTAATTGTATGTATTCTAAATGCTCTTTTTTAGCTTTTTCTTCTTCGATTTTTTTTTCTAGTGCTAATCGCTCTTGCTCTTGTCGCTTTTCGTGATCTTCTTTAGCTTTTCTCTCTGATTCTTCTGCATCTTGTTTTTTCTTACGGTCTTCACGTTCTTGTAAATCAGCCTATAACAAAAATATTTATTGTTTAAGCAGTTAATTTTAAAACTGCTGCTTATAGAGCATAAACAAACTTCTCGTTTGGCCTTTTTCTCTGCTTTAGCTTCCAATTTTGCTCGTTTTTTAGCTCCTAGTTTTGGATCTATAGCAGCAATAATACTAGGGTCGGCTGCAGCATCGTCATTTTCAGCACTTTCATTTCTAGGTTCTGAATTAAGATTATAATATGAATAATTTTTTTAATTTCATTAATTAGATACTTACATTTTTTAATATTTTTATAAATGATAGAATATTTGAGATAATTTGATATTATCATAAGACTTGCCTACTACATTGCGATTGTTTCGACGTAATGTGTTACGATGTTGTATGCGGACTCCTGGTCTAGGTCTATCGACTGGATCATCTTGTACAACATTCTCAGGCTCACCTTAAACAGTTGTAAAATATTTTTATTATACTCTCATATATGTAAATATGAAAAAGTACTTAAATATAAACCCACTTCGAAAAAATTTATAACGAAATATAAAACCAAACAACCCAACAATGACCGATGCAGAGAATATCGAGAGTAAAACAAAAAGATCCATCGTCCAACACAATTTCAATTTTCAATAGATCAAACTCAAAAAACTTAATTTTGCCCTTTTACCCATGATAAATACAATTTTCTTTATCATTTTGCATCCGTGTTTGTCACCAACATAGATAATAAATGTATTTATTATCTATGGTCACCAATAACCATACTATTTTGATTCGTGGTTCATTATCAATAATTCAATGTTATAAACGAAAAATAATGTAATGACGTGTATACATTATTATTATTTTCTCGATGACCAAAAATGTTTCTAAGTTCATAGTGTACACACCGCCGAAATAATAATAGTTACTGAAAAAAACTCCTTATTATATGTTACCATTCGTTTTTTTTCAAATAGTTTAAACATAATTCTTTTATAATTTGATGTTAAGGTTTAAAGTTTAAAGAAAATGATATACTATCCCTTTATTCTGCTTAGTGCGTATTTGTTGGGTTCAGTTCAATGTTTATACTTCCATATTGGCGAAACAGAACGCAAATGTTTCATCGAAGAGATTCCTGATGAAACCACCGTAGTCTGTTAGTAACTTTCCAATCCAAATTCACAATTCACATTGCATATTTATGCCGGGTCGCATAGGCAGTCACTAAATATTAAATTAATAAATAATGAGCTAATGGCCACTTTAATTTAGTGGCCTATAATTGGTCCATTCAATGAGTACTACTACATATTTGTTTTTTAATCTCCATTCGTTTTCAGCACATTACAAAGTAGAACTCTTCGATGTGAGGACTGGTGGTTTCACTCCACCTACCCCAGGCATTGGTATGAATGTTGAAGTCAAAGATCCAGATATGAAAATAATTTTATCCCGGGTATGTATCAGAGCTAATTGTTGTATGAAATATAGTTTGTATTAGAATAACAATAACAGTATTTTGTCTGTTGTAGGTTTACAGTTTTGAAGGGAAAATTTCATTTACATCTCACATACCCGGCGAACATATTATATGTTTGTATTCCAATACAACTGCGTGGATTGGAGGAACACAATTGGTAAACAATTACTATGTTTTTAATATTTCTTCTACTATTAATCAGTTGTATTAACATAGAGAGTTCATTTGGATATTCAAGTTGGTGATCAGGCCATTGATTATGCTCAAGTAGCACAAAAAGAAAAACTTTCAGACTTACAACTCAGGATTAGGCAACTTGTAGAACAAGTTGAACAGATCATCAAGGAACAAAGCTATCAAAGAGTAAATATTATTAAAATTATGTACTAGAAAAAGGAGTTAATTTTAGAACTGAAACTTGGGAGTTTAAAACAAATTAAAAGAATAACGATTGAAAAATCAACCATTTACATTTAAATTCCTGATCAATCCCTACCAAGTTCATTTACATTATTTTAAATGTTAAATTGTGAACTATGAATAATCGTTTTTAACTTTAGGAAAATGGTACTATTTAGTCTTTACCCATCTCCTTCTTAAACCAACAATTTTAATTAACTATTTCAAGTCCTAATATTTGTAACCAATAAAATATATACAGAAGAAATTGTTTTTAATGACGTTCAAGGTACCAGGACAATGGGAATAATAACTGTTAGATAGTCCTATTAATTAAAATTGAAAAAAGGTTTCTGATTAAACTTTTCTGATAAAACGATTCTGAGCGAAGACAGTCAGTCATCCTATGATATTACTAAGTATATTTGATGATATTATTGTGAATAAACTAAAAAGTAATTTATATATAACATATTTACGCGGAACCTTGTTTTAAATTTTCAATCCTTAGCTATAAAAGTTACATTTTATACATTTTTAACTACAAAATATTTATTAAATTTTAAATGTTTATAAAAACAAACTGTGACAAAGGATTTTTAATATTTTTCATATTTCATTGTAACAATATAGTAGAATACTTCTAATAATTTTTCAAGTTTTTTTACCCAAAAATAAAGTTAAATAGAATTGGAAACTGAAAATGTGTTCCTAAACAGTTCAAAACAAATCAACATTTTTTGAAAGTTTTATCGTGAAAATCGATTTTGCTTAAAAATTCCTGTTTTTCCTTAATTGGTATGTTGTTATTCCCTGCACTTCTGAAAACTATTGAGAATTTTAAAATTTGATCTCCCGAATGCACTAACTAGATTCACTTTCCAATCGAACAAGATACTGCTAAAGAAAATCGAAACAGTTTTACGGCTCCATATCATGATGACACACAAAAATTAAAAATAAATTAAAAAAAAAAAAAATCAGCTCAGAATCTAAAACAAATTGTTATAAAATAGAACCTATACTAGATTTTAATCACAAAATGTAGTTACACTGTTCAAACGTTTATTGTAATTTTAGTAAATTATTAAATATTTTTATGTATTGCATAATATTTAAAAAAGGTGGGCAAGTGGGTGTCGCTCTGCTGTACAGTAGGTTACAAGTGGGTCACTGTATAATGGATGATATTAAATTTGAATTCAACGATATAATATCATCGTATAAGAAAAACGATTCTGAGCGGAGACGGTATGTCAGTCTAGGTATAAGACCTAACCAAAATTTGACCTATAAATAATTATAATAGGTACCTATAATAAATTCCAAATTAATCATATCACAATATACATTAGGTACTTATAATGTATTATACGTCAACAACAAACCCTGATACTATCATAATAGATAGGTATATAATAGTGTACTTTAGAAGTATCAAGTAAGTACCCACGAATAACATTATTCAATCACAACAAAATAACTAAAATAGTTATTCTAGGTTTTTTAATATGTAATTTCGTTCAAATTTGAATTTAAAATGTCTGTAAAAAATAACTGTGTTCATATATTTTTTAGATTTTTGGTTACAGTATGAACTATTTATGAGAACCTTTGTTTTAAATTTGCAATCCTTAGCTATAAAAACTGAACATTTTATAATTTATTAATTACAATGATTGATAATTTTCGAGATTTTGATAAATGTTGTCAAAATTCGATCTTTAAATGCTTATAAAAAAAACTGTGCCTATGTATTTTTAATATTTTTCAACTGATTTTGTAACAATATCAGGAGCCTTGTATTGAATTTTTACACTTTTTGGCCCAACAGATAAAACTTTATTGATATTTATAGAAAAAAAACTAAAAAAAATTGAAAGCGGTAAATGTCCGTAAATAGCTCAAAAAGAGTCAAAATTTTATGGTGTATAGAAAATGCTAATTTAAACATTCAGTGAAATTTTCATGTATTTACAATTATTCGCTTTTGAATTAAAACAAAATAAGGAAATCGCTACATGAGAAATCGAGTGAATATTCAATGTTGTTAAAATTTGAATTTCTAACGCTCATAAAAATTAAAGTTGACTTTCTTATAGACATTTTTTTTTTGATAAAGGTAGATAATCTTATAAGGAATCTTGTATTGCATTTTCAAATTTTAGATTTAAAAAGAAAAATTTTTACGATTTCTTAACTCAAAATAATTTGCTAATTTTCTTGATTTTTCCATATTTTGTCAAATTTTGAACTTTAAACGCTTATAAAAAAAAATTGTGACTAAGGATTTTTAATATTTTTCATCTGCCTTTGAAACAATATACTAGGAGCCTTCTATTAAATTTTCAAGCTTTCGCAACCAACAAATAAAATTGTATTGATATTTTTAGAAAAAAACTAAAAAAAAATGGAAAATGAAAATGTCCCTAAACAGTTCAAAATATTTTGAAAATGTTATCGTGTATATAAAATGCAAATATAAACAACCAGTAAAAATTTCATGTATTTACATTCATTTCTTTCAGAGTTACACCAAAAACCAAAATCGATTTTTTGGAAAACTGATTTTGCGTAAAAATTCCCGTTTTTCCTTAATTTCCCGGCGCTTGTGAAAACTACTGGGAAATTTTTACTTTTGACCCCCCAAAGTACCAAATAGATTCACTTTCCTATCAGAAAAGCTACTGTTGAAGAAAATCCAAGCACTTTTACTGTTCTAAAACGTGATGACAGACAAAAATAAAAATAAAAACACATATCATTGTAAAATCAATACATTTATCGTTTCACTCAGAATCTATAATCAGTTATGATTAAAACTTTTTTTTTTTTATATAAATTGCATTTTCATTTCTATTTTTTCAGTTTGTTTTTAAAGTTCTATAGTATATATTAATAGTCTTAATTTATGCTGATTTTTTAGTATTTTGCCATATCTTGAAGTGTAGATGGCCCACATACGGTAAACAAAATGGTTTCACTCTAAATAATTTTTGTTATGTATTTGAGATATCTTGGACTTAAATTACCCATAACAAAAATTACAAAGAATAAAATTTTTGAGGGTTGACGTAAAAATGTCAAATAAACATTATGAACATGGCCCTGAAACCAACGTAGTTTTAAGGAGTTCAAATAATTTTTTATGAAAATAAAATATTCATAAGTATAACCTTAAAATATATTCTCAAAGATGAAGTTATATGTGGATATAGATATAGATACAAAAATATTTTAAATAATGCCACCATTAAATATAAATAACAAGATTAATTAATTTTATTGGTAACGATTAACTCACTTATCAATACTGTCATAATAGAATTATAGTAAGAATATACTCTTAATATTATTTTTTTACTCAATTATTAGTTTGTATTAATATTAATAACAAACATTTTTATATTTACAGTTCCGGGAAGAGAGATTTCGTCAAACCAGTGAGAGTACTCATCAGCGAGTTTTCTGGTGGTCACTTTCACAGTTATTCATACTTTTGGTCATGGGTTTCTGGCAAATGCGTCATTTAAAAAGTTTCTTTGAAGCTAAAAAACTTGTTTAAATTAATAACTGTTTGAATGTTTTAACTAAAATATAAGCCCATCTCCATATATATGTTTGTACATTTTGTATATACCATAAAAAAATTATGTATTCTTTATAACTATTATTAATTCATGGCTTTTCTGAATATATGAATAATTAGAATTCTACGTTTTTCTATTTTTTTTTTTTATTTAATAAAATAAAAAATTTAACAGTTTTTTTATTTTACAACAAATTGTTTAATATGCAAATGAATGCATTAATCAACAAAAAAAATTGTAGCATATAAACTCTTTAAAAAAGTATCTATAAATATTATATATTTAAACTTCATTGTGTTTACAAAACTTAATATTTTTAAGAATAATGAAATATACATTGTATTATAATAGCAACAGGGGATGAGGGCAATGTTGGCACATATGGTTAAAAAAAAATTCAACAAAAAAATAAATATATAGTACATAAAGGTATGTACAGAAGAGTCAATCTGCTGACATAGATGATAGACTACTGCGAGTAGAGCTTCTGTGACGATAAGAACGATGATGAGAAGGTGGGCTGGTATTAATTGGCAACATATTATTTGGTGGCCCAAATATTGCTTCTTGTTCTTCTAACTGTATAGCAAACTGTTCTTCAAGTTTCTGAAATTGAATTTGTTAATGTAGTAAAATGGTTTATAATGATATGTTTATACCTCCTACCAGTGGCGTAGACATGATTTCTGAAAGGGGGGATCAAAAAAAAAAAAAAACAATGACATAGCTAATGGGAGGGAAAAATTGGAAAATCCCCCACCCTCTCAAAACTTTAAAGGTAATAAAAAGCCAATAGGGGATCTGACCCCCACGTCGCCCCTTGTCTACGCCACTGCCTCCTACACTAAGCCTATAATTGGCAGAAGAAAGTACTCATACACGGATAATACAATTTAATCTGGTTTTTTATAATGTAAAATTCAACATTGTAGGCTTTCAACGATATTAGATTCAAATTATCATTCTTATCATTCATGCTAAATATATTATGTATAATACTTTTTGATATGCGAGATCAAATCTATACAAAATAAAAATATTACTTCTTATGGCAATAAATATTAAAACATGCATTAATAGTTTAAAATTAAATTAAAAACAAATTAATATACAGTGTTACTTACATAAAATTTTTTTGCAGCAGCACTCGAGAATAAGCAAGGATAAAAGGATGCAAAATAAATTAAGCGTGTATTTATTCAATTTGTTGTGTTATTACATGAGTTATAATAACTTTAGTATAAAAAATATTGGAAGAGTCAGTTAGTATCATTGTTTAAAAATAAATACAAAATATAGAATTGTAATATACAATAAAAAATTATATCAAAAAAAGCTTGAAATTGATATTCTATAACCATTAAATAAGCATAATCAGTGCAATTAAATAACAATAAATGCAATTAAGTGTTTTAAATGAATAATTTATGAATTTAATACTAAGCAATGTTTTGTTCCATGTCATGCTTACATTTAAATTTAAGTATTTTATACTTTTTTCATGGTATCTTGATGAATAACTACTTTGTACCTTTACTTTTAAATAATTTGCGATAGTAAAAAAGGGCATTTCTCATCAGACTTTAAATTTTGATTTAGAAAATTCTCCAATTTAGTGACGAAAAAATATACAACAATACATACATAATAACTCAATATTAAAATAATACCAAGCATTGAATATAATTGTATAGATTATTATCATATTAGGAATAATAAATAAAAAAAAACATTTTCTAATAAATATTACAGAAAAACAGATAATACAATAGAAAAATCATGAACCTTTTTAAACTTCAAGTAATTTTATTGATGCTTATTGTTTGATATTGTTTAACTAACTATTAATTGATGGGAAATTTAAAACTGTCAATTGAGCCTTTTTTTACATAAAAACATTTTCAAGTAAGAAAAGCTAAACCATTGAGATACATTTTTGTATTATAAAATTAATATAATATTTACAAAATTATAAATTAGAAACAAATTATTTTAACAAAAATATTAAGTATTTATAAGAAAATCCATTTTATACATTTAAAATAAAATGTGTATTGCTATACATAAATTAATTAAAATATATATGACATCTGCTAATGTTATATAATTATTCAATTTCTATATAGCACTTTACATTTGTACAACACATAATCCACACAAATAAATTGTATCTAAAATGAAATATATATTTTATAATTTATATTTAAAGGACAATGTTTGTTAAAATAAATCTATTTTAAATTAAATTTTACTTAATATATGGAAAAACATAAACCAGGTTAGGAACACACTATCCATTAACCAAATGATGACATGTAAACCATTTGGAATAGTACTATAATGTTTGTTCAAATGCCACCTTTTAGTTAGAGCTCATTCAGTATACAAAAATTTTTACATTGTGGATTGGTTGGAATGATTAGGAAATTGATTGGCACATCGCCTAGGGAGAAATCCTGAGCCAGGAGAACGAAATGAAGTACTGGACAATCGAGGAGAAGAGAGAAGTGATGAAAACGAATATTCTCGTCTGAGCAAAGTGTTGCCAGGGGATGAAGGCAATGAATAGCGACTGTTCCATGAATTCCCTTTGGCTTGCCTCGCCAACTCCATCTCAAGGTTCTGATAAAAAATATAAACTATTGGTGGATGTTTAAATGTAAATTTCAAGCTACTCTACCCTTTTTCTATAAGTGTTAAAAATAATAGTTATTTACAAGTGGTTAAGATAATTTAATAAGCTGACTGACATATTAAGAGAAGAACTTTCATGAAAATATAAATAATCTAAAACAGCAAATTACTAGTTATTAATTAGATAATTCAAACTCAAGATACTACATCCATTGGCATTAAAAAATACAGTTATATTATTTAAAAATACTAACTTTTTTTGTACATAAATAATGTATGCAAATGTAATACTTTCACAAAATTACCTGTTTCCTAGGTTTGAGATGAGCTTTCCATTCTCTCAACTCACGAGCATACAACTCTTCTTGCTCTTTCAACTTAGTTGTTTCATGCTCCATCAGCATTTTACCTATTGTGAAAATTAAATTATTATAATTTACATAATTTAAAAAATAAATTACTAATGTAGTACGTTTTTCATTCTGAAGCTGTTCAAGCTCTCTAATAGTTGTGTCATTTGCAATTCTAAGCTCTTCAAGCTGTCGTTGCTGCTTCATTTCAAATGCAAGCGTCTCATTACGATATCTTTTTTTCTCATTTTCTTGAAACTTCTTAAGCCGGTTACGTTCATACTCTGTATCAGGATTTGGATTAGTTGCCATACTTATTCTTACAGATTCACGGAACATCATCTCTCGTGCTTTCATTTCAGAACGAATACGTTTAGGCAAAGATCGTTTTTCAACACCCTGTCGTTTTTGCATTTCTTCATCCTTACGTATATTCATACGTTTCATCTGTTCTAATTCTTTTTCATGTCTTATTAACATCTAAAAGAAAACAAATCATTAATTATAAAAATTAAAATTTAATATAAGTAAGTTATTAATGTACTTGATGCCTCTGCAAGAAAAAACCATCTTTAAGCTGTCTTTTGGCTAACTGTTGTTTTTCATGTATTTGCCGTTCTTCCATTTCCCACAAAGCAGCTTCTCTGGCTCGCATTAACTATAATGTTATAGAAATAAAATAAACTATTAATAGTATTATTTTTTTTATTTTTTTATTAAATAATAAATATATAACAAATAACAATAATAAAATGGAAAACATATCATTTAAAAATAATACATTTAAATGTGTCTCAAAAATCCGTACTTAAAATAGATAAAACATAAAATTTCTAAATACATTTACACACAGTTTATACCTGTTGTTTCTGTTGTAAATATTGACGTTCCATAAGCGCAATTTTCTCCTGATGAGCATCACTCAGTCTACTCAAGGAACTTTCATGATTTTCATTTAGTTTCTCAAGGAATAATTTTTCTCTCTCCTCATGTTCAGTCTCTAACTTCTCTTTTTTATCCTTAAATAAATTTTTCCGCCTTTCTTTAGGCTTTAAATCTACTTCCTGCTTTAATAGTCGTAACTCTTGTTTTAGACCTTCTCTGAATTCTTTTAATTCTCGCTCCTAAATTAATAATATTAAATAAGTAACAAAAGTGAATACAAATTTTTATTTTAATATTATTATTATTACTTGTTCTAAACGAATTTTTTTAGATGTCATTCTTAAATCTGCCTCTTGCTGTGTTTCAGCTCTCTCGACAGCTTGACGTTGTTGCTTGACCATTGTATCTAAATCAGCTTCATATTGTTTAATTAATGTCATTCTTTCCTGCTCGAACTTTTTATCTTGTTGCTCTTTAGATATGACTGCTTTAAATGATAAATCTTGAAACTGTTTTTGCTCTTGTTTTTGCAACATTTTTAGTTCTCTTAGTTCTTGTTTTCTAAATATCTGATCATTGTATCCATGACTGGAATCTTCATCACCATAAATTACTTTGCTAGTTGTTGTTGTCACAACTACACCATCTACCTCAAACTTTCTTGTTCGTTTTCTTGTCTTTTTTTTCATGTTTCTTATTTCTAGTTCTTCTTTACTTATATTTCGACTAGTCCTCTTCATTTCCTAAAAATGATTAACACATTATTTAGTACAGTAATAATTAGTTTGGTTAAAACCATTTTTTTTAAGTATTTTATTGCATAGACATACACAATAAAAAAAATAGTAAATTAAAACAGAACTATCAGATTATTGAGGAGGTTTCTAAACTCTTGGAAAACCTGAAAATATCAGGGATGTTGAAGCCCCTTAAAAAAATACTATTCACACTATAAACAACATATTTACAAAAAAAAAAAATGGTTTGTACAAAACGCAAGTTCTATTGAATGGGCAATTTTCTGCAATCATACAATTTTTAAATCCAATACGTACAACATACTTGTCATGTTTTCAGATGGAAAAGATCAATTTTTTATGATAATGATAATTAGCTGTTAAAAGAAAAATTCTTTGAAGATACTTAACAATTATTAGACCATACAACAATTTAATAAAACAATTAGAAATAAAATAGGCTACAAAAATAATAAAACAATTAACCCTTTGAGTGCTGATTAAATTTTCTAATGGTGGACACCTGGACGGAATTAATTTTGTAAAAATGATAAGCTGTCATTTTACGTTTTGTTTATAAATTTTTTGATAATTTCCGATTCAATATTTTGTAACCTCTTTGGAAACATATCATATACTATTATAAAGAAACCAGTATGAGTGTACAAACAATATTCCGTATTCCAGTTGATAAAAGCGAAAACGCATATATGCGTCGTTAGCACTGGTGGAGTGACTACACCAGAAAGCACATATGTGTCGCTAGCTATCAAAGGGTTAATAATAATTGAATCAAGTTTTGGTCTCCATCTCACTAACACATAAATAGCAAATTTTACATTCAGAAGAATCCATTTTATTCTGTTATTTTTAATATTAGATAGAATTAACCTATTATCAAATTAATAGTTAAGATTATTTTTTGAGCTTTTTGTAGGCTTTATAAGATATATCAATTTTGAAACAAGCTATGAGCATCTAAAAATTGTTGTATATTTTAAAACACTCATGACTTATTCTAAAATTAAAATATAAAAATAGTTAATTTAGAGCCTTGATTTATATTTTTACTCTTTAATTATTAATTATTATTATTAAAAATAACAAAATAAAATAAATTTTTATTAATGTAAAAATTGTAATGTTATACATTGGTAAAACGGAGTAAACTAATGCCAGTAAAATGTCCTCTTAAATTTTAATACTTACTCTGCTATACTCTGGTTTTTTACGTAAAACAACTTCATCTTCAAATTCTCGGGGAGGCAAATTGTTCTCTTTATTACTACTCCGACTATCATGACTAATAGTAGTTGAAACACTCTCTGCATCTGATCTGTCAAATGTACGTGTACTAGCAGCTGAAGGTGGAGTTCGCTGGCCTCCACTACTATATACTGATCCACTATCTGAATGTGAACGAGATGTAGATCGTGTTGGTGAAACATGGTGTTTATTATTTACCACAATTCCATCAGAATGTTTTGACTAAAAAATTACATGTTATGGTAAATAATATTTTTTTGTTAAGACCAATTGAAATTATTTTTAATAATTACCGATTTATGTACATTTGTTGAATTGTTAACTACAATGTATACTTCTGTTGGATCACTGGGCTTAACCATTGTAGCCCGTCCATTCATTTTCACTTTATTGGTATCTGTATTTACAGGTACACAAATTGGTTTAGAAACTTCAACCTCTTCTTTACTATTCCATGGACCTAATTCTTTAACAGAAGGTTCTTCTCCTACTGTTATAACAGACACATGACTAGCATCTAATTCTTCTTCGTTAGCTTGCGACGAATTTATCACAACAACCTCATCTTTTTTCTCAATCTTGAAATAAAAAATTAAATAAATTATAATAAACTAAAAATTATTTTAAGACTACAATTGCAAGTTATTTAATGTTAGATTATATACCTGTGACTTAGTGTTTGTATCAGCAACTATAATCACTTGGGTATGTAGTCCTGGAGGATGTGTCTGAAGAACAGGTGGATGTGTGGTAGTTACAACAGTAACCTTTGAATCAATTGCGCTCAAAGATCCCACCCTTACCAAAGTACCTCCATTGATTAAATTGTCATTTTGTTCAACTAAAATTATAGAAGAACAACAATTAATTTTTATTTAATTTTGAATAAACCAAATCAATATTATTTACTATTATCTTTATTGTTTATTCGATCAGTCTCATCTTGGTTATTTTGAAGTCTCCCAGCTAATTCATTCATAACAGCAGTTGGCATCTTTCCTTTATTTTTTTCAACATTCTGATTCATTTGTAAAACCTTATCCAAAGATGGAGGAGAAGGCCTTCTTTGATTACGATTAGAAGCAGATGAACTCCGTCTTCTAGTTCTTATTTGAGAGTCTTCTATAGAGTTTACAATTGGACCATTGTTACTAGCAGCAACTGATATAGGTCTAGAGCTAGATATATCATGTTTACGTAATTGTATTGATTGAATAGATACAGATCGGTTCTCCTCTTCACCAATATGAATAGGCTGTTTTTCTGTTTCAGAATTATTGTTAATAGAATCGTGAATTTCTGAATACTCATTACTCTTTGATTTTGGTACTTCAAGATCTTTAAGTTCAGCCACTGATTCTTTTTCATTTTCTTGGTTAGCATCCTGAACTTTTAATACAATTGGTAAATTCAGTGATTCTTCATTTGATACTAATTTCACAACTGAAGATGGTGGTGGCAGAGGGGGTGGTGGTGGCGCTGGACCTTTGTTTTCTGAATGTTTTTTTACCACCTATACAATTAAATAAGTTGTAATAGTTACATATAAATATAAATAAATTACATATATTTAATTGTATGCAATATTAAATATATTATATTTATACAGTGGAACCATGGTATCTTAAACTCTGATATCTCAAAGAATCAGCATGTTAAATTTTTTAAGTCCTGATCATCAATTCAGGTATTAAAAATTTACCTTGGTAACTCAAAGTTGCGATTTGTCAATTTTTTTTTTTTGTCCCTTGAGACATCAAGATACCGAGGTTCCACTGTAAAAGTTAACAAACATTTTTTTTAGAAGAAATTTCTTTTGACGAAATAACTGGCTCGGATTCACAAACTTCTAAGGTTTTTTCGTCCGTTTTGATTTTTTTACTATCTGATGATTCTTCATCCATCTCTCGTTTTTTTTGTATTTTTGGTTTCATTTCAGCTACATCTGCTTGAAAAAAATTCATATTTCAAATATAAAATATGTTATGCAATAAAAAAATATTAAAATATTAACATTAAAATATATAGAATATACTATAAAATTGAAATGTAAGGTTTAGCTTTGTGCATATTATTTTGACATTTTAGTTTTTACCTTTAGTTTCAGGTTCACTTTTAACAGATACAGTGTCATCTTCGACTGCATCCAAGTCCAGGGGAGGTAACTGAGTAGATTGTGGTGATTCCTATAAAATTGTACAATATTAAAACAGCTAGTCAACATTTAATTTGTATCTTTTAATACTATGTTAGCAATACATTATCATACAAAATTATATTTTACCTAGTGGACATGCTTAACCAAAAATAAAATATATAACTGTACTGTGCACACAAGGGTTAGTATAACTTACCACCAACCCTTTGATAGTGATTCCTGTTTTTTCTGTACTTCCTATCACGTGTAGACTACGTAAGCATGGAAATAAATATGTGAATACATTTTATTTATGTTAATGTAAAAATAAATGAATGCGTACACAAGGAATCAAATTATAAGGAAATGTATTTACAATTTTATAGTAAGATACCCACGACAGTGCTAGACTTAAGCTAAATACATAAGAATATAAGGTGTAAATAAATATATTTTTACCTCAGGTTCTTCATCTACAACTTCTTCTTCAACCACCTCTGCCTTATATTCAAGTAATAAATCTCGAATAGGTTTAGGATCTATATTTCCATTGACAAATGGGTGCTAGAAGAAAAAATTAGAATTAATAACAAATTATAAGTAGCTTAACTAGTAACATTACTTTAAGAAGATCATCTGCAGTTGGCCTTTGAACTGGATCTTTTATAAGAGCATGTGCTACAAAGTCATTGAAATTTTTAGACCATTTAGATGGTTGCTCTAATTTAGGAGGATCAGATTTTTGTATTTTAAGTAATACACGCATAGGAGACATTTCATGATTTGGAGGTTCCATTTGTGCTAATTCTATAAGTGTTATCCCTAAAGACCAAATGTCTACTTTAAAATCATAAGGATTATCCCTAAAAGTTTCGCATAAAACTACTTCAGGAGCCATCCAATAAGGTGTTCCAATAAAAGTATCATGTTTCTGTAATGTTTGTTTATTCTTAGCAGAAACACCAAAATCAGCTGTAAAATATGTTAATAAATATATATTAATATGTCAATAATAATATTTAAAAACTTACCAATCTTAACACCAGCACTAGTTGTTAAAAGTACATTTCCAGCTTTAAGATCACGGTGTATAACTTTACATTTATGAAGAAACGCTAACCCTTCACACATATACTTGCAAACATAAGCTATTTGTTCTTCAATTAATGCACGATCTAGCTCTACCATAATTGAATCTAAAGCACCTCCATCACAATACTCAATCAGCATCTATTAAAGATATTACAATTAGATACAAACAGAAATAATAATTTATAGCTATAATTTACCCAAAGTTTAGAGTTAACAAAAAATGCTTCATATAATTGAACAATATTTGAATGTTTACATTCGGCTAAAATGTCAATTTCAATCATAAAATCAGCTAAATCATCTTCACCTTCTAAAATACACATTTTAGCAGCAGCCAACTGTCCAGTTTCTCGGTGTTGAGCCTTAACAAAACATAATAATACAGCAAAAATATAACTTTTTTTTATTATAACAATTATTTATTTATAATTAATCTAATTTTACTTAATTAACTTAAAATGTCAAACAAATTTTAGTATTTAGAAAAGAAGAGTTAATTTAACACCTAAAAAATAATAAGTAAAAATTAAAGTTTGGGTATAGATTCAGTTTTACATTAGAATAATTTCTAAATAATTTTTTTTCGTCATTCGTATAGGTAGCAGGTGATCTACCACGGTTGAGTGATCTGTGACTTCGGGACGAGTGATATACGTACAAATTAAAAATTTATTTTTTTAATAGTATTCTATTTTTATACATAAAAAAAAAATCATATAAACATGTTTTGTCTATATTGTATGCGTGTAAGATGGAGAAAACACATGTGGGTGTGACGTCCTCTTAAATATATATATTAATAAATAATATAATAAAATAATAAATATAGGTTTCAATCATATATTAATAATTATAATTATAGATCACTAACTACATCTCATATTATAATATGATAGATCACCTGATACACCTAAAAATAAGTAGTAGACCACCTGCTACATGAATTCCTTTTTTTTATTAGGTTCTAAAATTGAACAAAATAAAAAATGAAATACTTTTAATAGAAATATACTTAAATATACTTAAAAATACTAATAACGGAATATTTTAAGTGGAACAAAAGACAAAATTACACATATTATTTTAAAGCAAAATTTAAATATAATTTGTATAACCTATTTACTAATTTAGTATTTAATTGGTAATTTATACTTAATGATACATATAATTTAAAAAATTACCTTGTAGACTTTGCCAAAAGCTCCATCACCAAGTTCACCAATCATTTCCCAAAAATCGTCAACGTCACAATCCATATGGATGTTGTTGAATACTTTCTTCTTTTTCGCTTCATTGTTACCTAAGTGAAGCACTTTCTTGAGGCCACTCAAAAACGACATTTTAATAATGCCTTTACACAATATCAGAATCAATCAGGATGATGTACTCGTAAGGATCGCATGACCCAACAGTTCTCAAATTTTGCATTGCCTATTAATGTATCAAAAACAAAATGTTTGTAAAATGTCTAAATAAATATTTATACAGCATAAAATTAAAATACAATATATTAAATAAACTTGGCATATAAGTATAAACTTACCAAGTAAGTATCAAATAATGTGATTAATTTATTATGTAATTTTCATTCTGAATGTTAATAAAAAATATTGTTTATTATATAATAAATAATACGGTTTAAACTATTAAGCTCAGGAAAAGTTCAAGGCCACTATTAGAGCAAATACTATTAACTTGTTTTATTTGTTTGTTTAAAAATAGTCTAATCAATAGAAACTAAAAATAATACATCAAATATCTATACAGTACCTAATATAAGAAAATTAAATTTAAGATTTAAAAATCATTAAATAATAAATATAAACATGTACAATAGGTTAATACCAGGGTAGTATACCCACACAAAATGTATCATACATTAAGACCGGAGTAAAGACAAAAGAACCATTGGTTGGAAACATGTTTCTGATATTGTCATCGACAAATATTTATATTGGCGCTTATGATGGGAGATCAAAAAAATTGTTGACGACAGTGTAGAAAAGCATGTGTTTCCAACAAATTTTTTTTTGGTTTGGACTGGGCTTTACACATATAATACGTATAAAATGACGAAAAGGTATAAATATGTATAATGACTAAGACATAAGGAATACTAAGTAAACCTACATTGTATTCTTTGAAATTTATAACTATTATAATAGTGATAGGTAATACTGCACACTTTAAATTTTAGGAAGTATAAACTTATAAATTAGTATAAAAAATTAATAAATCAGATTAACTTGGTGAATTTTCTTAAATTTAGAATAGGTAAAATAAAATAAAAACAAATTTCTTTTTTGTTATTAAAAATATTAATAAAAAGGAACTTGGTAATTAATATAACAAAATACAAATTATTAAATCACAAAAACATGGTGAATTATACCTAATAATTGCTGTTCAGTGGAGCTATAAAAAAAACTTGTATACAGTATTGTATATTTACACAACTAAGTGGTTTTATGCTGTAGAACTGTACACATAATAAGTTTTTATACTTTACTGTATTATACATTCCAACCCTGTTTTAACTGAGATTTACATGTTATCATTAAAACAAAAGTTTATCCATCACAGTATGATTGAATATTTTATTATAGAAATATAGATTGTGTTTTAACATACATAGATATTTTAATAAACAACGATTGATGTAAGTTATGTAGCAATATCATAATATATTACTATAACGCAGAAGTACCCACTGAAAAGGTAAGACCAAGAATAACCGATCGATCAACCAAATCTAAACTCACCAAATTATCTAATCTATTATTCCCAACTCTACTTCAATCAAAAAAAATGTAGACTGCTGGCCCTTTTCACTGCATGCGGGGTCCACATTGACATCATACACATTATCACCAAACGTCGTATATAAGCCCAGACAAGTGAAAATACTATGTTACCGGACTCACTCTCAGCAGCACTCAACCAGGACTCCAACTCAATTCCCGCCCCAATCAAATTTATCATCGCCATCAATCTTCTCAACATGATTTAACACTACTCTCTTATTTTATTTTCAACTAGTATTTAAGTTTACTATTATTATTATAATTTGTACGTTATTACATCTAACACCCAAAGCCAGTGTCGCCACGAGTTTAATCATTAAAAAAAAATATTATTATTAACATAGTTAGGTAGGTTGAGTAAATTATTGTTTGTACACAATATCTTAGATTTAAGTAGGTATTGTTGAAATAATAATAACTACCAGTAAGGCAGCTAGTGTAATACATTATATAGACAACTTAACATCACACATTAGAACAAAATTGATTCTCAAGGTCTAAAGCCTACCTACCATAAATTCTTTAAAAATGTATACATACATATATCACTTACCTACTAACATAAATCAGAGATACGTAAAAGAGATAACAACATACATATTTTAGAAAAAAATATGCGAATATTAGATATTATGCATGTAAAATATGTACCTAATCAATAAATGTGAGAAATATAGAAAGAATAAGGTACTAACAATAAAATAAACATAAATAATATAGTTATAACCATAATTTCATATTAGTCAGAAGAAATTCAATAATGTACCTATGTAGGTTTAAGGAAAAACAAGTTATCATGAATAACTGCTAATACATATTTGTCTTATACACATGATGATAGAAACTAAATTAGTGAGAATAAAATATCTGGTTTTATTCCTATACACGCAACAGTGTAAACATACTCGACACCAGGCTTAACTTGCAAGTTACAATATACCATAAACACTCTACAACGTATATAGAAATAAAAATTTCTCACCTGCAACTGGAAGGCGAAGAAATCAAAATCAAAAAAATTTTGCGATAAACACGATCAATAATCGGCACACATTCAATTCACATAATATACATAAATCACTCAAATAGAAACACACACAACGCGAGTAATACATAAAAAATAAACCACTACACAAAATATGAGTAATGACACATATCTTCTTATCTCTGTTACATTTACATTGGTCGTAATTAATATTATTATTATTAGATACAATGACGAAGTACGTAATAAGTACCTGGGTGGTTTATCGCACCTGTTTATTGGAAACGTAGATAACGACGTTTTCGAATGATTTTATTATTAAAAAATTAAAATATACGAAAATTGTTATTGTTATGAATTATTATAGACATTATGATTACGATTGTAACTACAGACGTGTGAACCATTGATATTACTCGTCGCAATAACGCAGCAAAAATAATAACAACCGCAGAAAAAAATCAAATTATGCAAAAAAAATATCACAAAAACGCGACTACAATATTATATTTGTCCTCACCACGCCTGGACGACGGTGCGTCGGTGCCTGTGGAAAATGACGTCAACAAGGTGAACGCGGCTTTCTGTGGGATGAGATTTCAGCAGTACCGGACGTCCTTGACCATGTTTTATTGGAAATCTCCGTTCGAGATTTGTGGCGGCCCCGTCCACTGTTTTTTTTCTATTCCGCCCAGACGAGCGACGACGACGGTTCGGCGGCTGCTACAGTGCTACGGTCGTCGAAGTGATGTGCGTGTGGGTAGGGATTTGGCCTCCGGGGGTGCACGGTCGTCTGGCCCAAATGCTGAGCAGGACGTCCGGAAAATAGTACTTTGGAGCTTTTTAGGGGATTATCATTTATCTAGCGGCCGGACCCGCCGGAGGAGTTGCGGGTGTAAGGTGTTGCGGGCAACGTGTTACGAGCGGCGGGAGTCACGGAGGACATGTCGTTTGGCCGAAGACGTGCGGCGCTGACGGCAAGCACAACTTATTTATAGTGAACGCTCGTAAGGCGGTGGGCCTCGACTGTTGACGAAAAATGAAAAACGAAACCCGAAAAACACGACTTTTAGGAATAATAAAAATAATTATTGAAAAACAATAATATTAATAATAATAATAATAATAATAAGAATGATATTTATTATTTAATAGACGTCCAGCAGAGGACAGTGTGGCCAGATGACGGGAACACTACGGTCGCATCGTGATCCCGCACTGCATCCTTGCGGACACGATATTATCCGTTCCTACCTTCTGTTTCAGTAGTTGAGAAAAACGAAAACATTAAAATAAAAACCGTTATAATTATTAATTTTTAATTTTATAAAAAATATTAAAGCTATTCATTAGTATCATTAGTTCAACACTTCAACTGTTTAAGTGAATAATAATAAAATAAAGTGTTTTCAAAAATATTTGATTATGTTACTCGTTTACTTTTGTGGTTGTGTGTATCATCAATTTGTATATTTTTTATAACTTTGAAAATGCTTTAGTTACTTTTTTTTCAATTCGATATTACATAATATTATCTTCATCATAATAATATCGTTGTTTACTACTCAGGAATACATAATGATTACAACACTGAATCCATTGAAAGTTTTGGATTTTCTGGTATTTAAATTAAATATTATATTATTTTATATTTCCATCGTCAACTAACAATATATTCTTATTCTCCTGTTTAGATTATGCAAAATAAATATAGGTAGATACTGCAAATGATTTTATAATTTCACATCTATTTTTTAAAATCCTAAAATTAAATCAAAATGGCAATGGAATTGTTGGACATGAATGAAGATTGGAAACTAGCTAATAAACTTAGAATAGAAGATTCTGAACAATTTTACACTTTGGTTCGAATGCATTTGTCATTTATACTGGAATCTAACATTAAAGAGTGAGTTAAACATTAAACATTTCTATTTAGCATTTGTTCTTATACTGTTTAATATTCAGAGGGGATTGTTCAGTGGAAGAAAAATCAAAAAACAAACCTATTAAATGGTCTTTTATGAAAAAAGACAAATGTTCCGTGAAAGGCGTTATGGATGGAGCACCAATTACTCAAGAAGGAATTTGTCAAGTATATCAACTTATTGATTTCTTGTCTCAAGAAGAAAGTATGTACCTATATCTTGTTTTGTACTATTACTTACTAAAACATTAGTTGCAAAGTAATGTATCCTAAAATAAATATTTTTAGATGTCATGCAAGAAGGTATATTTCGTAGAAATGGTTCAATAACCCGACAACAAGAACTGAAAGCACTTTTAAACCAAGGGCAAACATTAGATTTATACAACGGACAGTTTACTGTGCATGATTGTGCTACTGTTTTGAAATCGTTTTTAGCTGAACAACCTGAACCAATAATGACAGAAGCATTTTATCCAGCATATTGTCAAATATCAGGTATCCTTAATTCAAAAACTTAACAATATCAAACATATTATATCATGATTATATTTCAGAATTCTGTCAGAAAATGGAGATTAACAATAATAGTCAACGTTTACTGAGAGCTCTACAACTTTTGTTGTTGTTATTGCCATTTGATAATTTAGTTTTATTAAAAGATATCATAAAATTACTTCACTTTACTGCTTTACATTCAGACAAGAACAGAATGCCGCCGGACAATTTAGCAACATTATTTACTGGTCACTTAATTGTTCCAAGAAAGGTATATAGAAAATTACTTAATTATATAATTGTGTATACATCTGCATATATTGTAACCAAAAATATGTAAGTAAATTGAATTAAAATTAACTTGTATATGTATAATGTATATGTATAATATATAGTTACCAGCAGAAGAAATCTATCAGATAACTCAAAATCTATCACATATTGTCATTTATATGATTAAATTAGGATTTGACTTATTCAAAATTCCACCAAATTTATCTGTAGATATAAGAGCTTATTGGTCCAAAAAAACTTTACAACCTGTTAAGGTATAACATTGTTTTATTTTTTTAATATTTTGTGTATACATAAATCTAAACAATTATACAATACACATCAATAGGAGGAAGGTACAGTTGCTACAACAGTGTTTTCATTCACTGATCGTACAACTACCACTAAAGAAAATGAAGAAAATCCAACAGTTAAAGCATTGGCTGAATTATATGCTCATGTCCATAATCTACCAGAATCTGCAGAAAAGCGTAGAATGTTTATTAAACGTGTTAGCAATCACAATTCTGTTATTACACCAAATAGAAGTCTTACAAATTCTATCAAAGTATGTAATTTTAATGTAATACTCTGAATATTTAATAATATTAAATAATTTTATTGTATTTTGTATTTTAGAAACACATTTTTAAAAAAGGATCAAAGTTTAAACAAGGTTCAATGAAGTCGGCAGAACGACAGCAATTAAAAGTAATAAGTCACATATTATTATTGTATTGTAAAAATAATTATTTAATATGTATCCACATAACATAATAACTAACAAAATATATTTGTATGAAATCAAAATTTAAACCAAAAAGTTAAAGCTAACTTGGTGTTAAAAGAAATTTATGAATTAAATTATTAAGTGTTAATTTATTAAAACACATTAAAAAATAATTAAAATGAAAAAGATATTTTTTATCAAAGTCTTTAATTTTTATACTCTTCTCTACATCTGAATTATTTTTGACGCAACTAAAAAAATAACAACTTAAAGGATACTTATCCAACATGAATAACAGGAACAACAATATTGGCTATTATTATTTGTATGATTTGCTAAACTTCGCCTTACTGGTATAAATATCTGAAAAATAATACCATACATTGATTTATTTTGCATTTATTATAAAAAACTAGTTCTTTCAAAAATTAATTTATTCAATATGTTCCAGTTTAATATAAAAATCATAAAATTGAAAATTAATTTTTATTTTGTATAAAATGTATGTACTTCTTAAAATAAAACTCTGGTATTAGATTGGTTAACTTTTTTTTTTCTATATTCTAACTTTTCGGGGTTACAATTAAGTATATATTTCATATTTACTTTTTAATAACAATTAACATTTAAAAATAATACATTAAACTATATATTTACGAACTACCTACACTGGGAGGTATCTTCACTGTGTTTCCTGTGTGTTCTATTATTATATCTATTAAGTTAAATGTTCTATTGTAAAAGATTGCCTAGTAAAAAGTTATGTTTAAAAATAATTTGTTAAATTATACATTTCAACTATTATTAAATTAAGTTCTATTAACCAGCATATTATTTAAAGCTTATAAACAAAACATAATATATAATTTATATTATTAAACATAATAACAAATTCAAATTGCTTAATTCCAAAAGTTGTGGTACAGTGTACGTATAAAAAAAATCCAGACTAAAATTATCAATATTATTTGTTAATGGTGCTTTATGTGTTGTGCTATACCTATTCCTTAAAATTGCATGTAAATACTAATCTTTGCATGTTGTGTTCATTGGTATGTGCTCAGCTTGGAGAAGGAAATTCCAAACCATCCACAGCTACTTCTTCAGATAAAGAAAATAAGGACGATTCATTTAAAATTAAGAAAAATGGCACAAAAAAATTACCAATTAAAGAAATTAAATACTCAAAGATCGAAGACCATTGTTCACCCAAACTGGATCTTGATACACCAGTAGATTGTTTTTCTACGCCCAATGTTGTTAAACGTATTAAACGTTGTACTAGTACTCCATCAGCAGTTACGCCACATCAGCAACATCCTAATGACGATATGTCTCCAATTACGCAGTCAGCCCAGAAAATGACCAAATCTATGCAGGTACTTAAGGAGTTTTTATATGCACAAATACCAATGTATGCTTTTTAAAATTAACCGCTGCTAAGTTGTGTAAAGTCATATCTAAATATATAAAATCCAAATACCACTGACTCACTCATCCCTGTAAATCAACTTACGAACTTGAAATTTGGAATAGAGGTTCTTCTCATATTTTCACCGTGCAATAAGAAAGGATTTTCAAAAGTATTGCGTTTTAGTGGAGTAATTAACAATTATAATTAATTACTGGCAATACGTATTGTACTGCACGGCGGCCCGCGGGTTTCCAGCTACCTGCAACCTATATTTTTGGCTGAAGGTTAACAATAAGAATTGTTCTAAGAAGTTAATCGATAAAAATAATCTCAAGCATCGCACTTACACCAATACTCCAATTATATTTTAAATGATAAAATGCACACCGATAACATAAACCAATGCACATACAAATTCTATTGATCTAGATATGCAATAATTGTGGAGTTTCTGATATTCGCTTTTTAAAAAGATGGTAAAACAGGGATCTTAAGATTCACGGTGGAATTCGAAACTTTTTTTTTTGTTTATTAATGGTTGCTTTTGGTTGCAAGTTATATTATATGGAAATCATTTCAGAAAGCTAGGTACAATTACGCCGGTTTGTCTATAAAAATAAATAAAATAACCCCCCAAAATATATTAATATATAAATAATACATATTAAATGCTCCTAAAAATCTGGAATGATCAACTATGACTTCAATACTATTTTAGGTACACTGTATACAATTTTTTTTTCAACTACAAAGCTGTACTAATATAGGCTATATTTTATCTTCTTCCTCAATATGTAAGCAATCTACCACAGGTAGATTGCCTACCTGATTATATACGGTTTGCGTTACCATAAGTGAAACTCATGGGCGACGCCCACGCGAGATGGCTAAAAATTAAAATATAATATGATTTTGCTTCCATACCTATGCTGAGCGAATTACACCCAAAAGGAATTAATTAATCACAATTTTTTCCCGGGCAACGCCGGTTTATTTAGCTAGTTTATTCATATTGTATAAATCAATTTAAACTTACTACACAAAACTTTTTTCAGGAAACCATGATGACTCCGAGAAGTCGTAAACCTGTAGTAGCATTGTCCAACTCAAACATACATAAAATGAAACCTTGTAACAGTGATTCAAGTATATCAAATTTGCCAAGCCGACAGAGTCTAAACTCTGTATCATCTAATCCCTACTATTTAATGACTTCCGGAGATTCGCTCTCCAGTTCATTTCGAGATTATTTATTCAGTCAAAGTGTACTGACTGCTAGTCCAGTAGATCTCAGTTTTGGTGATACCAGTGCGTCATCCACACAGTCATTACTTTCAGATTTGGAGGATGGCCAATTACAATTCTCTAAAATATGTACCTCGTCCACGGAAAGTTTACCGAAAAGAAAACGATTAACAAGTGAAAACTTTATTGAAACATTGCTCTGAGATAATTGTATACATATTACCTATGTTAAATTGTTTTTATTTATATATAATTAGAAAATGTGTATTTTCTTAATTGTTGTGTCTTCCATGTATATAATTAAAAAAAGATTCTTTCAAAAACTAAAACTAAATTTACTATTGAACTCTACTACAAAAGTATGTATTCTGTATGAATTTGTTTGATCATTGAGTATGGTGCTTTGATTTATCAACAATTAAAAATTAAAAATGTTTGCAAGTAGGTGTCACTCTGCTGTACAATAAGTTACAAGTGGGTCACTGTAATGGATGGTATTAAATTTGAATTCAATGATATAATATCGTGGTGTACGATAAACGATTATTTTTAGTATTGGGCATTAGTATTTACTATTTACTACTTTGGCAGGGTTTTGTTGGGATTAAGCGAAATTAAGTAAAATAATTAATAAAGTGAAATCTGGATTAAACTATATGTGCGATTTTATCGATAATATTTTATTTGGTTCCAATAACTTTGACCACAATTATTATTGAAAAAACTAGCTTTGTATTGAATAAATTATTAAAAGGTTGCAAGATGAAAGCAACCTGCTGTAGAGAACAAAAGAAAAAGATATAAAAAAAAGTTTTTTTATACAATAAAATATAATAATATTAATACTATTGATTTTAAGTAATTTGAACTATTTACTAAACGTGTAAGACGAACGATTTTTCGAACATTTGGCGCATATACTATCATATATTCAATATTCATAATATATTATAATATAGTCACGTCTTTTTCTTTCCTGCACACTTGTCAACGGGCTACCTTATGTGAAAATATACGGAAAATAATAAATTTTCAGGTAGGTTAATTCCGATCTATACCTATATAATCCACAGACTTCTATACTACACTTTATAGATATTTCAATATTTGTGATATAGGTACCTACCTAATCATATATTCGTAATTATTTTCAAAATCTATATTAGGTATATAATAGGTTTGTTCCAACACACCTAATATCAATAACCAATGTTTATACTAGTGTACTCAATGAATGATTTAATGATTATACTTATACACAATTATTATTGACATATCACATAGACGCTTTACTCCTTATTGCTTAGACCATATACTATGGATGGAGCCATGGCCTATCTCGCCTGTGTAAGCAATTTGAAGCACATATTATATAGTAACGAGTCTCTCCTTGAGATTCGTTATCTGCGCATGCACAAGTATACTCGTCGCATATTTATTTTATAAATAAACGCGGTATTTAATATTCAAATAAAATATTATATCCTAGTTGTTTATTTTATTTATTTGTATTTTAATTTTTAGTTATCACTCATGAGTTTTCTGGGAGAATTAAAAACATTAGAATAAATATGCGACGAGTATACTCACGCATGCACAGTTAATGAATCTCAAGGAGAAACTTGTCGCTTATATGTGCTTCAAATATCAGGCCATGGCTCCATCCATAGTATATGATCTAAGCTTTATTCATTTAATTATGTTATATACTTATATACCCACGTGCTACGCAAATGTACCTACCTATATTACACTTTCCATTCTGTAAAGGTCGTACTACCTATTGTGCGGTTATGCCTATATACATAGCCGTCCCAAGGGGGGGGGGAAATGGGGCAAGTGCCCTAGGGCGTCTAAAGTATTATGAATTTAGGGGGCGTACTAGAAATGGATGATAAAAAGAAAAATTTGGTGTTCTTATTTTAGGTATTATTTTTTTGTTTATACTGTAGGTAATATCAAAGATGAGTATCTATCAAATTGTATACTATTAAGTAGGTATACAATTATGAAAATAATGTGTTAAATCTTAATGCGACATAACTTCAATAATAATATATTGTATATTCATAAAAACAAATAAAAATATTAATACTTATAATTTATAAGATTATTAAGATTACAATAGTAATTTATTTAAGCACATGCAGGCGCGGATCCAGAACAGATTTATGGGGGGGGCCATCAAATATTATTAATAAAGTTTATCAGGGTTTAATATGTTAATATTGTTCGACATCAGGATAATGATGATTAGGTTACCTTTAAAAAGACCAAAAAATAATTAAACAAACATTTTTTTTTTGAAATATTTAGGTTACTCAATCTTACTTTATTGGTTATAAAATATTTAATTACATTACTTTTTCTACATTTAAACTAAATTTTACTATAGTTAATAATTTACGATAAATTCTAATCAAATGTACAACTTAAAATCAGCTTAATTTTCTTATGACTTATGGTTTTCAAATTGCAAATGGAATTTTTCTTTTGCTTTTGGAGAAACGTTCAATTAATTTTTCAACAAATACGTAGTTTGTCGGTGGTACCCAATGATTTATTAAAAGTTCACTCTTCGTATAATCGTCAATATTTTTTTCAATATAATCTCCTATGTCATTAGTATGAAGATGAAAATCATGACTAGAAGATGCTAATCAATGTTCGAATTAAGATCTTTTACTGAATTGTCTGAAATATTTTCTTCAGGTATACTGCTTTCAACTGTGATTTTTTTTGAAATAGGATTGAAAAATGAACTAATTTTTGAAGAAGGACGTTTTTTATCAGTAGTTGAGGCCTACGAAATTAAAGAAAATGTAATAGTTTTAAAATCATCTTATGATGACAATATGAAATAAAAAATGTCGGTCGTATAAATAAAATATGTAGTAAATTTATTAAAATATTAAAAAGGACGAAATATTACATATTATTTTTTTTATTTCATGTTATTTAAACGACATTTTGAGTATTGTACAAAATATAATGTACAAAATATGGTTTTTAATTCAAATAATCAAATCAGTGGCAGTGTATTAAAATTCAAAATACAGATTACTTACCATTTTTAAATACGCTCGTTTTCTCGCAGTGCGTTGAACGCTGTCCGCATCCCGTAGAAAAATGATAATGTTATATAATATTCAATATTGTAGCAATAGAATTAATGGTAAAAGTAATATCTGCGATTCTGACGATAACGTGAACGGTCACGGCATTGTTAGCCTACGCCACGCCGGTCGCCGACACAATTAGAAATTACAGAAAAATTCTATAAATAGAATTGTCCGAAAACCAATATCAATTTTACGAAACATTATAATCTAATATAGAAATATTTAATAAGAATAATTCGATCTATTCTATTATCAATGTTATTATTTTTTTCACCGGCCTCATCTTTTTTTTTTAGATTTGGGGGGGGGCATTGCTCCCATGGCCCCCCCCTTGTATCCGCGCCTGAGCACATGAAATATATTTTAAATATGTATATACATCATTACAATAATTAAGTAATATACTGTATACTATATTGTAATATACTTATAAACTAAACTAATTCATATCTTTGGTACCTAGTAGTACCTTTTTTTATTTTTGTGTCTGTCATCACGTTTTGGGACAGTAAAAGTGATTGGGTTTTCTTCAACAGTAGCTTTTCTGATAGGAAAGTGAATCTAGTTGGTACTTTGGGGGGGTCAAAAGTAAAAATTTCCCAGTTGTTTTTACAAGCGCCGGGAAATACAACATAAAAATTAAGGAAAAACGGGAATTTTTACGCAAAATCTGTTTTCCAAAAAATCGATTTTGATTTTTGGTGTAACTCTAAAAGAAATGAACGTATATACAAGAAATTTTCACTGGTTGTTTATATTTACATTTTGTATACACGATAACATTTTCAAAATATTTTGATTAATTTTGAACTGTTTAGGGACATTTTCATTTTCCTTTTTTTTTTAAAAATATCAATAAAATTGTATTTGTTGGTTAAAAAAGCTTGAAAATTAAATAGAGGGCTATTAGTATATTGTTTCAAAGGCAAATGAAAAATATTAAAAATCCTTAGTCACAATTATTTTTATAAGCATTTAATATTCAAAAATTGACAAAATATGGAAAAATCACGAAAATTAGCAAATTATTTTGAGTTAAGAATTCGTAAAAATTTTTCTTTTTAAATCTAAGATTTGAAAATGTAATACAAGATTCCTTATAAGATTATCTACCTTTATCAAAAAAAAAATGTCTATAAGGAAGTCAAATTAAATTTTTATGAGCGTTCGAAATCCGTAATATTTAAGTATAAACGAACAATTTCAAAATGTTTTAACTTAATGGATTTTTTTAAATCAACTGAGAAAAGCTAAGTTATTTCAATTGTAAATTAAACTATTTAAGTTCATAAGTTGATTAGAAAATAAACTAACTAGTTAAATAAAAAAGTTAAATTAAAATGAACTTTAACTTTTCAACTAGTTAATGCCCACCTTTGAATTTTATAATCACTTATATTCACTTGTGCAATTTACAATGTTGATTGTTATACTACACTGTTGTCTGTTATTACACACGCAGAAACGCAGAATGTATGATTTATAATGAAATCTAGGTACTAATTTGTGAAAATAGTTATATATATTTTCTTTCTGTAATGTTTGAGTGTTCCCAGAATAATGAAATCGGTGTTCAAATATAAACAAAATAAATATGATCCCAATAATAATATTTAAAAAAATAAGTAGGAACCTTTAATTAATAAGTATTAAACATATTTAAGGTATGTGGTTAATTATAAGCTAAAAATGCGAAGTCGAGATTTTTTGGTGGGAGGGTGAGGGGCATCAAATATTGTTGCCCTAGGGCGTTATTGGTGGTTAGAGCGGCACTGCCTATATAATTATATTATTGTACATTTGTACAACTATCAAAACACACATACCGTCGAAAAGTGATTTCCGGGTACTACAGTAATAGATAACCGTTTGCCGTTATAAGATTTGTTCAAATTAGGATATTAAAACTCAAGTCAATAATTATATAGTCGTTAAATCTGTAAAAATTGATTTATACACTCAACAATACGAAAAAAAAGCAACTATAGTTTTTTGTGTCCACAATTTTTTTTTATTTATCAAACAAAAACAATATGAAATATATATTTATTGAATATAATTTAAAAAGCAGTAACAATTTT